GTTGAACCACCCCATCGTTAGCGTGCCGAATCAACCGGAAATTCCAGCTTTCGTCGCTTCCGTATTCAACCGATGGCCAGGAAGATAGACGAGAGAAGACAAGACGCGGCACGTGCGAGAGTGAAACGAAGAAACGGATGGATCTCGGGAGTCTGCGAGCGAGAGGAACCGTGCGTCGAAGGAATTAACCAAAGGTGAGATAATGCCCGGTCCAACGTCTCTCTCGGCTCTTCCTCTCTCGTCAGGCACATCTCGATTGTCATGAAAATATTCGTTGATTATCGAGCAAAGAAGGGAGAGGAGCCACTCTCAGGTTCCCTGTTTCCAGATAATTAGAGATCGACGGTTGTCGAACAGAAGACGTCACCTGGTCTCTCTCTCTCTCTCTCTCTCTCTCTATGCTAATTCCTTCGCGTTCCCCAACTCCTTCGGCCGTGCTGCTAATCTCGACGCGGCAGATCTACATCTCGAAGATGGGAAACTCGAACAATAGCGCCGCTGTGTGAAACGAATTTAAAAACACCGCGCCACTTTGCAAAACGCTCCATAATCCGTCCGTTGAACGTGATAAGAAATAGTTATTAATGGAGACAAACTTCGCGTTTCCATCTGAATAGGTGCGGAAAAGAAAACAAAAAAAAAAAAGAAAGAAAAAAGAAAAAAGGCGTTTGTCAGTAGTGGAAGCATCCTCGCGATTTTAACGAACGCAGCACACCTCTCCCGACACTTTTCGTGCAGGACGATTAAAGATCGACTCGTGAGAGGCAAATAACAATTCGACCAAGTTCCGGACGTGTAACAGAAGAGAGAGAGAGAGAGAGAGAGTGAGAAGAGGAGCAGGGGAGAAAAGCGAAACGAGAGGCAGCGGAGGCGATGGCTCGCAAGACGGAGAAAGATTGCCCTAAAACGAGACAACCGTGAGTAGATCGCTTTTAGGATCATTAATTATCCTAGGAAGCGCGAGAACGAGCAGGATAGCGGGCGCCCGCTCCGCGCACCGAGCCACCAACGAAAGGGATGCCGAGGATGACGTCGAGGGAACCGAATGGAGAGCAAAGGAGACGGCGAATGTCGCCACTGCAAACCGAAATTACCGTCGAAGATTAATGATCGTGCGCTTTATTACAGGTATTTATAGCTGTGTTCTAAAATCTAGAGTGCAGTTTAACTTTCCAGTAACAGCGATAGCAGGCCAGTCATTCAAGTGTTTCTTGAATTTAAGAAAGGAAACACTTTTGTTCCCTGTTCGTCCACGTCCTTCCCAATAAAACTATCAGAAATATTCCTCTCTAACTTCAAATATTACCTAGCTCACATTATCTGTGGAACCAAAGAAGTGCCAAATTGTCAAAATGTGTTGATTTACAATGCCATTCAGTCCATCGATATTTCACGCTTTCTTCGCTGCGTCGTCGAAGGTTCTTGTGCCTGAGTTCGCATCTGATCCTCATCTGGTGAAATTTCTAGCGAAGATGAGGAGGAAATCGTCCGGTACAGAGTGTAACTGATGGTATTCTACACGAAAAATTGAATAAAAAATATAGAATAACATTTTTTCATACGAAGCTTTGTTTGCCTAGAAAAGTGGCTTTGAAAGTTTATCGAGTACGCGAGTATGCAAGATTCATCGTCTCTATTAACATTTGCAAACATTCCCAATGTTCGTACGCGAGGGCACAGAATGTCTACTTTTCACCAATTTTTTTTTTTTAGTTTAAAAATTGTTGATAGTGATGTCCACGTTGTTGCATGCACTTCTTGCGTTTCTACGAACATTTTCTAACGTGTCATTTCGTAGTTTCAATGTTGCAAACGCCATGATAATTTTCTCTTTTAATTGTTCAACGTTCGCCATGTCACTGGAATACATACACCATAGATTTAACATGACCCCATAAGTAAAAATCCAGCGGTGACAGGTCCGGAGATCGTTGTGGTCAAGGTATTCTTCCATTGCGGCCAATATTCAATATTGGTAGTTTTCGAAATAGTTTTAGAAATGCGATGGCACTCCATCTTGTTGGTAAAGTAAATTTCTTCGAATTTCAAGAGGAATGTCTTCGAATAATTCAGTTGAATCTTGATCAAGTGCACGCAGTTACTCGATAAACATTCAAAGCTATTTTTCTCGGAAACGAAGCTTCGTCTGAGAAAATTTCGTTCTATATTTTTTATTCAGTTTTTCATGTAGAATCACCACGTTCCCGCTTGTACCACCCTGTGTATTTCACGAGCCTCTAAACGTGCCATGATACGCCACGCATTAATTAAGTTTAAGCCGGAGCGGTTGCTTTTACGCGACGTGAATAAAGAAGTCTGATAAAGAAGGGGAAAGAGAAAAAGAGGATAGGAAAGAGAGACAATGTATAGGTGTACGTGGATGCGTACGCGCGTACTCGTTCGTTCCTTAAATAAATCGCTTCGAGTGACGGATTGGGGAAGAAGATTAACGAGCGTCGGTGTGTCGTTCGATTCGATACGTCGAATTAACGCGGGACAGCAACGAAGTTCTCTCGGTATCGGTTATTAATGACTCGAGAGCCTCTGCCAATGTAAACCTTGCCGAGCGTTTTTTGCATTCGTGACTGCGGAAAGTTTAGATTAATCGCGACTGATAAATGCTCGCGATACCCGGCCGTGCATCGTATCGTAGCCGAATGAATTGCCGTTAATTATACCGTCGATCGTTTAACAAGCGTAAACCTTATCGAATTGAAATAAAAGTTCTCTGCGTCGTCGTTTGTCCCCATCCTGCGCGATTAATTTTCTATCGTTAACGTTCGGCGATAATCTTTCTTTCTTTTCTTTTTTTTTTTTTTCATACTTTATTCGCCGGAAAGAATTCAAATTATTACGTTTCTATTCTGTCACGAGGATAGTTATTAGGATAGGCGTTTATACGGAAGAAAAATTCTTCTTTGACACAATAGAATGAAAACTGCGACGCGCAGAAGAGAAACTAGCGAGGAGTGAAATAAAAGTTGACAGGTATGTTTGATTTGAGAAGCGTGGCAAGAGATTAATAAATTGTCCTTCTCGGCGATTGAAATATTCCGAGGCCTGAGATATATTTCGCTGCAGCGAAAAGTAGAAACAGGAAATTGGTCGGCGAATATCCTTGGCTTTTGTGTAACATGTATCACGGAACTGGGAGAATCGTTAATCTTACAGTTGGTGTACATCGAACACCCACGAGCACGATGATAAAGCGACCTGATACGCTACTCTCCTACGTAAGTTGGTGGTTATGACCCTCCTTTGCGGTCTTTCTGTAAATATTTGTCACGATTATCCGCGCGAATTGTCGGTGCACAAATGCTTAGCACGAAATTGTCGAAGAAAAACGGTAACCGGCGTTGCATGCTCGATAACATTTTTTTCCGTCTATTTATTCAGACGTATAATTACAGTCTAGATAAAGTTTTATTGATAAAATGCTCGTACGATTTTCTGCATGGAATATATAAAGAATGACAAGCGATGTTTGAACTGGACTAATGAATTATGTACCTACTCATAAAAAATTATTTAAAAATATGTCTCACGTGAAATAACGATATATATCCTCATATTGAGGTTTACAATGGATTATCGATAATCGGCAATAGTTACATGCGTATACAGTTTCGTTTTATTCCGACTATTTATCGTCTAGTAACGGAGGCATAAATTTTCATCATGAATAACGTGGCGAACTGAGAATGATTTATGGAATATGTTTACGATAAATGTTATCGATAGCGATATAACTTTATATCATAAAATGTTGCAGCTCAGTTATAATTCATAACTGAAATGTAAATAATATTCTTTCCAATTTCTGAACACAAACTGTAAGTAAAAGTTTACTTTTCAGATAAAGCTCTATCAGAAAGTTTAAAGTGGATAAGGTCGTTTTTGAATCATTCTTAACGAGACAATCTTCTCTATACAATTACGATAATGCCGCTTGTATATGAAATACGTACACTACAAATCTTTATATATTTCATTGTTACATGCGCAGTACAGAGCTCAAATTATATAAAATGTATCAAGAAATAATGTTGGGGTGCTAATTAGAAAGACAGAATTATAAAAATTTATAAATTAATCTTGTTAATTAGTTACTTTCGTAAATGAAAATTTGATCGATTTATGGACATTGAAATGCTAGTGACGCGTAGCGGTGAAACGATGGAACTAATTGTTATTGCTGTCCTCGCTGTAGATTGTTGTTGTCCTTGTCTAACACGCGACGTGTATATCCTTTTCTATTGCCATCCTTTTCTATAAACAAGCAATGTGTTGTCATCTTTGTCATACAGTGTAGAATTAAGCGGAAGAAGCAAGAACGTACTGCCATCTATCGGATTTTTCCATTTCATTCTTTTAGTTCCAGTCAGAGTTGAGAGGTTCTTAGATGGCAGCACCATCTATAAACAAAGAGCACAATAGTGTGCGATGGACAAAGACAGCAATTAGTTTCATCGTTTCACCGCTACACGGCGCTAGCATTTTAATGTCCATGAATCGGCTAAATTTTCATTTACGAAGAAAAAAAAACTCATTGAGCGGATTAATTTATAAACTTTTACGATTATATAAAATATCTTTCATGTTAGACTCTCGACTTTCCCCCAGCGGTACATTTGATCTATAAAACGCACAATTAGTAAGAAATAAAGATTTACAAATTCTACTCAATTACAAAGCATATTCAACGTTACGAATCAAAATTGTTTGTGAATTTTAAGATTAAGAGCCGGAATAATAAGTTTTGCATATTTTCGAATAAAAATAATTATTAATTATTGCACGTGTCATTATTATAGGTTGGGAATGTAATGACCTTTCCACAATTAGTTTATAAACTTTCTTATATTTAGACAGTACATTTTTGGTGTAGCGTAATAATTTTGCAAACTCATTTACCTACCGTTAGTCAATGATAAAGTCGAAGTACAGCTGTACCGACGAAACGTGACAGGCCTTGCGCATGCGCGCTGGAGTTCGGACAGATATAACAAAACCCATGGGAAGAATAAGAAAGACAGAGGACGACAATGCTCGAAAGAGGAAGGTGTAAACGGAACGATAATATCGACATACGCTCGCAAACAAGTGTGGTTGAAGTGATCTGACCTTCTTCGTAGTAACCTTAACTTATTAAGGATGCTTACTACGAGCAACAATAGAAGAAGATTCGTCCGAGTCGTAACCTGGTCTTGAGGTAGGTTTATTTCGACGTTAAATATGATTGTAACCATTACTTATTCCGGCTCCGGCAGTAACTTCAAAAACCCTGTCAGTCGTTGTTTGTATTGTCGTCATTCAAAAATCGAATTACCCTGTTAGTTCAAAGTCCTTTTTCCTCGATATACTTTTACAGATATCGGCAACCGTGAACGTAAGCAGCCTTGCAACGATAAGCAGAAACAACGTAGTTCGACTACGGTGCGACGTAGAAAATGTCGTGTTCGAGCGAGCTGTCCCGTTCACAGGAATATTTAAGCTTTCGTAGCTCTGTCCCGCTGAGGAAGATTGTCGTCGACGCCGATGGCACCAAGGTACGTAATCGTAAATACAAATTGCAACGGTAATATAATAGATATCCAGTATTTTTTACGTATGGGAGTATTACATTCGCAAACTGAGAACGTTGTTTCCTTCTACATTTGTTAAACATTTAATGAGGAACGTTCCAGTTGTTGACAAAAATGACGATCGTTTGTTTTCAGGGATGGAAAGTGTACGATTCTAGTCCAAAAACCATCAAGTGTCCGCTCGTGTGTCTTCCGCCGGTTAGTGGAACGGCCGATGTCTTTTTTAAACAGGTGTTGGGTTTAGCAGCCAAAGGATACAGAATCATATCGGTAAGTTTTGCAAGTTACATTGAGATTCATTGTGGATCGATCAGTTTCAAATAAAGTCACGTTTCAGGCCGAGTCGCCCGTGTATTGGAACGTCAAGGAGTGGTGCGATGGATTCAGAAAACTCCTGGATTACATGGAGTTAGATAAGGTGCACATTTTTGGCGCCTCATTAGGTCAGAACGTACGAACGAAACTCAATATCAAACGCGACAATGGGATGTACGTACGGGGAAACGTAAACGAGGTGTTTTGCTTTTAGGTGGATTTCTGGCACAAAAATTCACGGAGGTAAATGCTCACTGTCCCAGAGTTGTGTCGTTGGTCCTTTGCAATTCGTTTACAGACACCTCGGTATTCAGTTACAACGAATCGGCGGGGGTGTAAGTACGTTGTATCTCTGCGTAATTGCCAGCTACTATTTAACGACCTAACGTAAACTCAAATGAATTTATCGACGACTCTTATCGTCGTTTGTTTCTTGCATGCCTCGAGATAAGCACGACAAACCGCGATACGTTATCTCGCATATTTTGCTTGTAACTGTTACAAAAATTCAAATCAATAGCTTTTGGATACTGCCGTCGTTGGTATTGAAAAAGATGCTAATGGGAAATTTTGTGGCGGACAAAGTCGACGGAGAGATCGTAGAAGCGATTGATTTTATGGTAGAGAGAGTACGTATGTTCATGGAAATTTTTTACTCGCTATTGTGTATATTACATCTTTAATTGTTTGATCTTGCTTACAAATCATTTGCTTACAATCATCTCAATGTAAACATGTCATTTTTGTTCACAGTTGGAAAGTTTGACACAGCCGGAGTTGGCCTCTCGATTAACGATGAATTGCGTCAATTGTTACGTCCAGCCGCAGAAAATGTGCCACTTGCCCATTACGATTATAGACGTTTTTGACGAGTATGCGTTGTCGAATTCAGTGAGAGAGGAAGTATACAAGTGTTATCCGAATGCCAAGTTGGCCCATTTAAAAAGTGGCGGAAATTTCCCGTATTTAAGTCGGGCGGCAGAAGTGAATTTACATTTGCAGGTAAGCGTGGCTGATCGTTACTTGTATGATTGACACGATTCACATTATTGAGTAAAAATGTATTTACAGATTCATTTGAGGCAGTTTGAGGGTACCGAATACGCTGCTTCTGAAAGAAGGAAGTCATAACGCGACTAAAATGCGACATTGTAAACAAACGTTATCATATCAACACTCATATAGGATCTTCTACGTGTTCCATCGACCAGCCTGATTTACACGTTGTCAATAATGCATACGTACTAATACGTGTGATTATAATAAAAGTCTTGAAACGTTTCTCAAATATATTCGCCGTAACAAATATGCCTAAGTATTCTATATATATGCATATGGGTATTGGTATTGTAAAACTCGTTATTCTATTTTTATCGTAACATATTGGAGATGTTATTTGTTATATTTTCTTAGGCGGGCATTTATTGATCACAGATCCATTTGTTTCAAAGGTGAATTTGAAATACTCGAGCATGTTCTACGTTATTCTCAATTAAACGAAACCATGTAGAACATAACGATTTTTATAGAAAAAAGAAAAGCGAAAAAAGTGTTCGTTATATTATATTTATAATAATACAAATATACTCAGATATACAATAAAGTAGTTGAAAAAAAAAAAGGGAAGAAATCAATTCTGAGAATATAAAAACTAAAACGTGTATCTAAACGTTAAATCGAATATATCCAGTCGTCAAAATTGTGTAAGTTTGTTCGAAATAAATATAATTTTGTAAAAAATGGTCTACAAACAAAGAACAGTCGTGAAGAAAAAACACAAACTAGATACATTTCATTTGTACAATTCATTTCAGGTACATTTCATTTGTTCATGTGTTTCAACATCAACTTAATTTAAGTGGTTCTCGTTAGCCGTGTTGAACGCTCGCCGGTGAATGAACTCTCTCAGAACGTGTACATACACACTCTGCAAGATCGTCTAACTGAGAGACCGTACAAGAACTTGTCCGGTATCGATTTCTCTACGCGCGCTCTTGTTCGCGTTTCTCTCTAGCGAGGTTGAATTACACAGCCTTTCCTGTCTAGCTAGGGGACATTTTTACACTCCCCATATACGTGCTACACGTGCATTAATTACGACTACACACCGAACAGATACACGTCGTCCACCGTGGAACATCTCGGCTAGTCTGGTTGCATCTTCTTAACGAAATTAACGCATCGACATTCATTCTCTCTCACGTATATAATTGCCCCATAGAAGATAACAGAATCTTCATTTTAACTTTTGACATAAAATTGCAACAATGATTTTGTCCAATTTTTCAGTTTCAGTAGTTTTATTTTTCGATGTCACGATTATTAGATGTTTTTTTTCTTTTTTTTTTTTTTAATTAATTATCGCGACTCATGAACAGAAATGTGTATTCAGTTCGCAATCCTCTTTCGATTTTTCGATCTCTGGCTGAAATTGCGACCAAACACTACCATTCACAGTCTCGCGAGTGATTTTTTTTTTCTGCCCGATAAGATTACAGCTATCGGAAAGTGGTAGCGTGCCGTTGTAATCGAGCCGTCGCGTCGTCGATTTAACGATAATCCCCGGCCCGTAAAGCGGGAAACAGCGCGCGTTTGAAAGTTCAGTCGCTCAGGTGGTTACGTCGCGGAAAGTCGCGGTCGTGTTTCGCTCGCGGTCGCCAACGAGAATGCCCGTGGACAAGAAGAACCGGCTCGACGTCGCACGTTTCGAAGATTGATACGTACCGATAAATCACGCTTGCTTCTAAACGCGATCCCTCCGTCCACGAGTGCGCGATCCTTTTAAGATTCTGTCACAGTGTTCTGTACAGCGTGTAGCATTCGCTCGACGCGATTTAAACGATCGATACGCGTCGGAAAAACGAAAGAGGTAATAATCGGGAGAAAAACAAATACGATCTCATCCGGTAGCGATACGTCGTGGAATTCGATACGGTGTGTGACATGTATATCGTGGGCATTTCTACTACGATTTGTCAATGACTCCACGCTCCTGAACAAAGATAACGTATCCGAGTTTCTTGCGGTCGATCGATCGGCTAACAAGCTTTCGTCGCGCGTTCCTTTCAAGTGCACAGCCTTAAACGGAAATCGTGGCGACGGACTGATCGTCGCGGGTGAAAGGAAGACCTGGTGATCGAAACCACACTTTTTTTTTCAAAAATATTTCGTCTCCGTGGAAAAAATCAGTCGTGCCGCGATTTTTGCTGCGTCGAAACGATTACTGACGACAGACTGCGGACGCCGGTCGGATATTGCTGAGTTTGGATATTCATGAGCGTCCTATGGCTCGCGGCGTTGTCGCGAACCGGGTATTAGATAGATCAACGCTTGAATGAAAGCAAGCGAATGTGAATTTTAGCTCGAGGATGGAAGCTTTTGTCGTTTGAAGGACGTTGCAAACAATTAAGATTCGAAGAGCGTTCGACGAAACTGCACCTCCCGAAGATAACGTGTAATTGCAAATGTGAAATTGTATTGCAATACATGTACACTTGCAGATAATACAGAGTTACGAATTGTGTTTCCACGCGTTTCTCTCTATACAGCGTGTCCGTTCTCGTCGTACAAGCAAAATTATCACGTTTCATCGCTAGGAAAAGAATATAATTGTAGGTGTCGTGTAACGTACACCCGTTGAGTCACACATTGTATTATTATTTGCCGTGCCTGTCTCCTTCGAGCTAATCGCAATATCGATTGTAATCAATTACGCAGGCACATGTAAGTTTAGTTCAGGACGAAAATAAACCAAACTGTACTTTCTTCGAACGTGAGTTTGTAGGATGAAGAGCTCTCTGTACGATCGCAACGTATTCACTTGAAACAGGAGCAAATCGAAATTACCTTCAAAGGTGTTGCAATCGTGCGGTGGTGATCGATCGAGCATTTACAAGAATGGAAAGCATGGAGGAGCGGTCTCCGCTGCTGGAGAGGAAATTAAGCACCTCGACGAAAATCGCCTATGCTTTGGGACATATTTTCAATGACCTAACTGCCGCCATGTGGTTCTCTTATACCCTCATCTACTTTCAAAGGGTAGCTCTACTGGAGCCGATCGTTGCCGGCGCTCTCTTACTTTTAGGTAAACGAGTGTTCAGTATACGAGTCACGGTGTTAAACAAAATTAAGTAATTTTCTTCGAACGTCGGATCATGACAGATTTCCTTTCTCTTTCTTTTCAAGGCCAAATCATAGACGCATTTATGACACCAATCTTCGGAATATTGGTCGACCGGTATCTGAAGAAGAAGATCTGGCACATAATCGGTTCAGTGATGATCACGCTGTCGTTTCCAGTGATCTTCGGTGGTTTTAGCAAACCGTCAAACGCAGGCATCATGCTCGTCTACGTCCTCAGCATCGCCGTGTTTCAAACTGGCTGGGCAGCTGTGCAGATATCACACTTGTCCATGATTCCGGCGTTAACGGATTCACTGCTGGCACGAGCAGATTTAACTGCAATAAGGTTAAAAAAAAAAAAAAATCGTCACCCCTTTAAAAACTTTTCTCGTTATTTTTAGCGACTTTGAACTTTATGGGGCATTCAGGTATTCCGCTCAAGTTGGTGCAGCTGTCGCGGTGTTCGTCGTTACGTGGATAGTTCTACCCACAAACGAAGGAGCAATGATGCGATTGGCTGAGCAGGACAGTTATAAATTTAGAGTGAGTTTAAATTAGACCTGTGTAGTTTAATTAGATTTCGTCAGGCTGGACTATGCATTTCTTTTTAGAATATCGTGTTGACTTTGACGTCCATCGGCCTGGCGGCCACTGTGCTCTTTCACGTATTTTTAAAAGGGAATCTCTTAGAGAATTCCGATCCGCGCAAAGGGAACGTCGAAGAAGCTAGAAGACTGTTCGATAATCCTCAAAACGATCGGACAATCTCCTGGGTCAGTACGTCAATTTTACTAAGAGTAGCCATGCTGTACGTAGCCAGCAGACTCTTCATCACGTTGGCAACTGTGTACTTGCCATTGTACATAGAAGAAACTGACGCGAATGGAAAAGAAGCGCTTGCCACCGTTCCGTTGGTCTCTTACTTATCCTCGTTCGTCGCCGCTTTGTTGCTGAAGTATATCAACAAGTCGTGCGGGACAAAGGTGTGTACGTTTAACTGAAATGCGCTTTTCACTGCAACAGTTGAACGACGAACGTCGCGAAGATAATACCGATCTTTTGTTTCCCGCCAGGCGTGTTATTTGTTAGGCACTTTAATTGGAATTCTCTCCGCTGTAATTACCAAATATGGTGGCAATTCGACGGCAATTATATACATTGTCGCGATCCTAATAGGGAGTGGAAGCTCGATTACAATGGTCACAGCATTGAGCGTGACGGCAGAAATAATTGGTCCACGAACGGAGCGGAGCGCCGTCGTCTATTCGATCGTGACTTTCCTCGACAAAGTCGTTACAGGCCTGGTGGTCATTTCTATCGAGAGATGGTGAGGAAATTGATCAGTTTCGAGGTGAGGTTTGGGTATCGAGCAGGTAAAAAAAACTATACTTGTGTTTCAGGAGGTGCACGGAACCAGCGTTCTGTCCAAATTACAACAGAGACACTCTGGCTCTCGTTTGCGTCCTCTCCATGTCTTTGGGACTCGTTACGTTGTTTTCAATTTCGCGATGTTTAACATAAGGAAATCCCATCTCCGTAGCCAAAGCTGCTTTCATTTTCGTATTTTCGCACTTACGTTTACGTTTACTACACGCAGAAAAAAAAAAATCAAACCCTCTTGACAATGTGGAAAGGTTATGTGGAACGTTTGAGAAGAATAAAGAAAGAGAACCTAAAGTCAACTTGAATTTTCCCGCCGTGGTATTCGCCCGCGCGATTAACCGACATGCGCGAGATCGTCCTTACCGACGCGACCGAAGTCTCCGTGGACTGTCGCGCAGATGTCGCGGCAGGGCTGCGGCACGCACTCGGAAATTTCCAACGAAACGGACCGGCGTGGTGGCAACACGAGAGTACGATGACCTGCTCGATTTACGCGTTACGTGGCGAATCGTGGTTGCGTCGTAGAACGTAAGGCAGGATCCGTTAAATTCTGCTTGGCCGTGGTGCCTCGTCGGAGCACACAGCACACGGTTATCGTACACGGGCTTATAGAGGACGATAGACGCGAACGACATCCGCGTGAAAAGAAGGGTGGGGAGAAGCAGAAACGAACGAACGAACGAACGTACGAACGAACGAACGAACGAACGAACGAGCGAACGAGCGAGTCGATCTCTGGAAGAGCGACGGAGAGGTCGCGACGAAAACGAGAACGGACGAAAGGATCCGTGCGAGAGCGAGTGAGAAAGAGAGAAAGGGCGAGAGAGTGTGAGCGAGCGCGCGAGCTGCCCCGTCGTTGGTGGAAAGGGAACAGGAGAGGAAGGAGCGAGAGAGAGCGAGAGAGGGTGTGCGAGAGAGGGAGAGTGGCAGTGTGGAACGAAGGCGCCTTGGTGGACCACGAGGCAACGACAAACGGCGCACACATTGCCTCGTGCGAACATGGCCCGGAAGGTGCGCGCGAGGCTACTGCGCAGAGTCTTGTTTTGCTCGGCGGGACGAGGGGAGTACGGAGGCGGACGCACGTTCACGGGGCATGGCGTGGTGCGCGTTCTAGTAAACAACTTGTGTGCGACTCATGCGGGGAATCTGCGTCCCGAATAATCGTGATTTTTCTGTCGGGCAACCGCGATACATCGGCGCAGGATAAATCGGCACCGTGCGCGGACGAGTGTTCGCCTCGTGTCTCGCGGAGCCACGGCCACGTACACGGCGTTTCACGTACAGTTTAACCAAGTTCGTTGGTCTCCTCGGACTTGGAGGAGACTCTCGACCACGGGCAACCTCGTGTCCGTTCCTCTATTTCTGCCTGCGTGTTTACTTGTGTAGTGACTGATACGCGTGTTTACATGGAACAAGTGTACCCGACGTTGATCGATTTCCAGTGTCATTGATCCGGCTTACTCTACACACCAACGACGTCCAAGACGTTTCTCACCGAGGGAGTGCATCCGGGGACCTCTCCTTCGTCTTCAGTCTCACGTCGACACGGTAAGTGTATGTGTGTGTGCGCGTGTGTATGTGTGTGTGAATCCTCTGTGAAATTTCCTTTGACAGAAAATCCGCAGCCGCGCAATCCCGGTCAAGGGATTCGCTGAATCCCGGTCAAGGTGTCTGTCTGTGTCGCATCCGTATCGAACAAACCCGTGTGTCCCGTGCTCCCGTATTTTAGGAACACTACCTTACGAAAGTTCGAAAGACGCCCTCGTGGGGTGTGTGTCCTTCTCTGGTCTCGACGCGCGTTCAATGAAACGTCTCTTCGTTCTATGCGTTCTCGTCGAATCGTATTCTCGTTTTACCGCCGGGTCTCTCTCTCTCTCTCTCTCTTTTTCTCTCTGTCTCTCTCTCTCTCTCCCTCTCTCTCTCTCTCTCTCGCGCGCGGATACGCGCCAGTTGTGCACGAGCCAGTCGAACGGAGCATTCACTTCGAACGCGGCTTTCGATTCTCATTGATCGTCGTGTTTAACACACAGGGGGGCTGTCAGTAGTGCGGTAATCGTTGAGACAAAACACAAGCGGCGCGCGCGTTCCGTTCCGTTCCGTTTAACCGTGTCTCTGCCCGTTCGACGCGCTAAGTAAGCAAACGCGTGGAAATATCGCCGTGGAGAGTGAGAGCGTCGAGAACCACGTACAAGAGAGCGTGTGGAACGAACGCGCCGAATAGAGGCTCAAAAGGAAGTGCGCGATCGTTTACCTCTGACGTTGCACGACATACGATCAATAATGGATATATCGTTCTTCGTCTCGAGTTCCCTCTTGGGTAGGATAAAGATCGATTCGACGAACCGCCGCGTGCGAGTAGAATGGTTTCAACGGTTCAACGCGCCGGAACGATATCAATGGTCTGGCGGCTGGTGCTGGTATCGACGCGACATGTGAAAATCATGTGCGTAGTTGCAACGTCGTCGTTGCGTCGTTCCCCCCGGTGGGGTAAGTCCCGGGGTATCGGGGTGTAAAAATGGCTCGGCGGAGACGAACGGAAGAAAGTAGATAGACGACAGATAGGGAGGGCCGAGTAGTCTGGAGAGCGAGAGAGGTAGACAAAACACGGAGCGGTGTTGTGCTGCGCGTCGGGTTGATAAAAGAGAGATCGGCGGCGTGGACCACGCGATCGGCGTCTGTCGATCGTCACGGTCAGTTGTCGATCGGTAAAAGGTCTCTTCGGAACGTCAATAGACAGTTATATATCGCGTTTCACGTTTATATTTCTCGCCTTAGTCACTGACCTCGCGGCTGCTCGGCCAACCTCGTTTCGTCACCACTCTCGGCCTCTTTGGTTCGCTGCTCGGAAACTTCCTCCTAGGAGTAGTCTTCTCGTCCTCTGCTTTCGGGAAAAGTTCCAAGATTCTCTGCTTCCATAAAAANAAAAAAAAAAGAAAAAAGAGAGAGAAAAGAAAAAGAAAGTTCAAAGATTCGCGACGATTCGGTGAGAATGTTCAGCCGCCGCGTTTGAAAGTCACCGACGTGATTAAAGACACCAACTCCATAAATTGAAAAGTGCGGGAAAGCGATCATTAGAGTATAATGGAGCTAGAGATGGGATTTAAGCGAAAGATCTCTTTCCCCCTCGAGAAACGTTAGTCGGCTAGAAATCCGCGGCGTATAATTCATTCGGTTACTCGGCTGATTCGCTGAAATTATCGGGAGCTGCCTCTTTGTTGCAGCGGCGGCCGTTCTTTTCAATTGGACTTTTTAAAGAATTCTCTTTGAATCTTTTTCTTTTCTTTGCGCCATTTCTCTATACACGGTGTCCCAAGCTTAAGCTCGATCTGCTTGATCTATTTTCTAGAAGAAAAAAAATACCAACGATTATGAAATTTTGTTATTAACATTATTTCATACTATTAGGTATAATTTGTTTTTTAGTTTAGAAACGTAATTTTATTGAAATTCAGCAAAACTCTATGCAGCTTTGTTCACCGATATCAAGCTGCTCGTGGAATTATTATTAGAAAAATTATTTTTTACATTATAGTATTATTATAATTAAAAATATTGTAATATAAATATAGAAACTATTATATAAATAATATTATATAATATAAATAAATAATAAATAATTTATTATATAATAAATAATATATAAATAATATTATATAATATAAAAACTATTGTATAAACTTATATAAATATATAATATAAATATTTATATATGTTTCTATATTTATATATAAATATATTCTATATATAGTTTCTATATAAATATAGAAACTATACTATTATTATAATTAAAAATATTGTAATATAAATATAGAAACTATTTTTCATGGTATAGTATTATTACAATTAACCGCATTAATACGAAATTAAGTGCATGAAAAGAGACGCGTACTTAACGACATTGTCTGTATATTGTTACTACTTGCACAATTCATGTATACACTATTTATTCGCAACTCTGTAACAGAGCGTTTCTTGCCGAATTTCACATGACATTTTTAAGTTCGCGGAACATATATTTTAACGACGAAAAAGTATAATAACGTACGTACGATAGGATGATAAGTACGTAAGATACGACGTGAAAAAGGGCACATCTATATTCAGTTGACGGGAGGATTGAGGGAATTAATTTAATCAATCGGTTTCGAATTCGTCAGACAGGTAAACGAGTAACCATGCACGTGACGTGAATATTGGAAGAGATTCGCTGTTTTTGCCAACTGTTTGCGAGTTCGTTAAACCAATTTAGATTCAGTGTGCAACAAAATACGAGTGGAAAACAAAACCAGTGAGCGTCTAGTGGTCGAGGACGTTCGCACAGTGAGAGAGAGAGAGAGAAAGAGAGAGAGAGGTGGTCACTTTTTCACGTTTTCGTATTGTAGAAACGTTCTCAATCACTCGTTTAACAAAACTAGTAATCGCTTCTTGTAAGTTGGTCATCGTGTAGCTCTCATCGCGTGATCGACGATCGACAGGGGCGAATCCTTTCTTACCTCATCGTACTTAAGTATGTACATGAATTGTCCGCCGTTTGTCCACGGTGAAACAATCGCGAAGGCTCGAACGGTTCTCGAACGAAGCGGTCCACGATCGTTTCTGTGTGGTCGGCGAAAGAGCGAGACCGAGTCCTTTTACGCGCGATCGACGCCGACGCCATGAAAAAGCAAACCGATTTGTAACGAGCCAGCTTCCAAGACGACGAGGATGACGATGTTTACATCTGGACAACAGGGTTTTGGCTGCGCCGGGTTTACTGTAATCGAGTAAACAGGCTCCTCGATGCTACGTGAGAGTAACTCGCACGTGTGCCATCACCATGCAGGGAAACACTCACACAACACTCTCTCTTTCGCTTTTTGTTAAGCGATTAACGCATTATACGGGTCCATTTCCGAGAACGGTGTTTGCCCGTGCACTGACATTTAGGAAAAGGGTCAGACACACTCTGGTTTCTCTAAACTCTTGACGGCTCCACGAACGTCTCTCCGACTTGAAATCAAATAATCCACGCACCGGTGGAACCATCGTGCTACTTAACAACATGTCGTGCATATTCATACGTTTCCTGTCCACGATAGGCGATAGCTTGCGAACAGACGTTCGCAATGAAGTTCGTCTACCGTTTTCTTGGCAGTGAAATCCGACGAATTTATACGAGCGAATTTAGCTGTGGCTCGCTGGAAAATAAATTTCAAACCGTTCTCAAGGTAGTTCCGCGATTTTTCGATTCTGTTTGGTTAATAAAGAGAGCTCGTCGAGCACGGCGTGCTCGGGGAATTTTTATTGTAGTTT